CTTTCCCAGTACAGGAAGGGTTCGCTGGAGGTCCATTCGGCTTCTGGCCACGTGACTCCTCAAAGGCTGCCTGCCTGCCTGGAGGTTGCTCTCGGAGCCCAGTGGCCCTAGGGGTGGAGATGACAGCTCCTGTGCCCCAGTGTCTGCTACTGGGCGTCTCGGGGTTCGTTGGATGAGAGCCGCACTCAGAGCAGGTGCACAGGCCTGCCACCTGGCCTCCACTTACTGTCCTCCTAGAATGTACTCCCATGTCCAGCCTGCTGGCTGCCTTCCTTGCTTCCCACTGCTGCTAACATGTTCTTTACACACACACACACACACACACACCTGTCACTTTTGGGATAGTCCGTGGAAAGCAGTACCCCCTATGGGGCCCAGCTCAGCTAAGAACCTGAGCTGGAACCCTGGTGTGGCCTGTACTGGGTCCTCCCGCTCCAGAGGTCCCATGCCTGCTCTGCGCTGTTGCTAGGGCAGCCCAGGCCTTGTTTAAAGCTGTTTTCCCGAGCAACACTCTGCAGTGCACACAAAGTAACTTGATAGCCGTCTGTCCCGGGAAGGAATGCAGCCCCACCTGGGCTGGGAGCCGTCCTTGTAAGGAACGCTCCTTACAGCCAAGTTCATCCAGAAATGCTGTTCTGTCCCGGCCACAGTCACAACCCCTTTTTTGCTGGGAAAGCAGTAAAACTTGCCGAGGAAACTCCCAAATTCCAGAGGCTTTGTTCATGGGAGCCGAGGGCCCTGTTGACCCTGCGAGGGCCGGTTGGTATTGGCATGCCATACGTTTGAAGCAGCACATTTAGTGCAGCTCATGATGCACTTGGCCATCGGTGTGTGCCTGATGGGATAGCCGCAGGGCGTGCACTGGGGAGGGTGGGGTGGCACTAGCTTGAGTCCTGGCCAGCAGGGCCAGCAGGGCACGGGAGGGCTTCTCAGCGAGAGGACCTCTGTGCGGGAGGGCCAGGGGTATGCACTGTGAAGGCATAGCCCCAGGGCTGTGAAGAGCTCAGTGTGTGACATAGCGCGCCTGTGTGTTTGCTGGTGCGAGTGTCATCCCTTCATCCCTCTTCCCGAAACAAGCTGTGCCCAGGTCTCCTTCAGTTCCGTTTCAGGCCTGTCATGCTCACTTCTTCATCTGCTGACCACTCTCTGAAATTACAAGCAATTTTACTTCCTGACCTGAAAATGTTGATTTTTTTTTTTCCCCAAAAAAAATCTAACAAAGGGATGAGGGTATCGGTGCTCCCCTGCCCACAGGTAGGGGAGACTTCCCGTGGCAGGGAAGCAGTTCAAACCCAGCCTCCACCGTTTCCATCACGGAGACAGACTGTCAAGGCCAGACAAGCTAACCTCGTTTACTGGCAGCAAAAGAGAGTGCCTGGGAAGTCCTGCGGCTGAGCCGGGCCAGGGATCCAGGGCACACGTGGGTTACCGGGGAGACGATTGCCGCTTGATATTCTTAGCACAGAAGCAGACCCAGTGTCCTGGCTGCACTGACTCTTCATCGAGAGCAGAGCAGTGCTGTCAATTAGCGTGATGAACCGTGGCAGCTGGAGAGCCACAGTAAGTAAGTTAGACTATTTTTAAAACGACCTCTCAGGTGGATGGGCTGAGACGAGGCATGCGCGGCAGGCAAGCAGGAGGCGTCATCACTGCTACCCAGGAACAGAAGAACTGGCCAGACTGTGCTGCCATTGGTGGGAATGGGACTCCAAGCACCGCGGCTCGCAGGCAGGCAGGCAGGGGCTTGGCTCTTGTGGGAGGAGCTCGTGGCTGACTGGACTTCCACTCAGGGAAGACATATGGTTGGGTTTTGCAGATGCCACGGTGATAGGAGTAGAACTGTTGCTGGGGTTGGATGTTGTGAGAGGCAGCAGGTCAACACTGAGCAGTGGCCTTTGCCGTCCCTTCTCTGCATCAGGCCACCTTCAGTGACCACAGGGTCTTTAAGGAGGCAGCATAGGCTGTGTGACCCTGGTCATGACTCTCTGCCTCTCTGAGGTCGGCATCTATGTCAAAGGAGGATGTAGAGATCTCAGTGAGAGCCAGTCTAACATGGCAGAGTAGATGCCCAGTACTTGGAGTCATCAGGTAAGACAGTTGCAACTGCTAACTGCCCAGTACACTGCCTGGCTGTGCCACTTAACAGCTGTGTGTTGTTAGGCAAGTGGCTTACCCTGTCTGATTCCCCTTGCTCCTCCTTGAAATGGGAACAATGAAAGCAGTGTGTCTCTTAAGGTGTTGGAGACGTTTGCTGCATCTGGGCATGTGAGCTGATGAAGGTGGGACGTCTCCTGGCCACCCAACCAGCCTTCATTAAAGGGCAGATCCTGTCGTACGCCTTGCCTGGTTAGTAGCAGCTGCCATTTAGGAGGGTGGAGTCCTCATGTCCAGTGGGACAAGGAAGCAGGCACTGGTACAATAGGAACCCAAAGGACATCGTGGAAGCTGGCTGTGGTGAGCGGCTTCCAGCAAGCTCCTGAAGCCCAGAGGGCCGCAGGACATCCTGGAGACTTGGCCAGAGTTGGAGACAAGGAGCAGGGGAGCTGGGTGCAAGGGTGCCTCCGGAGGAGAGTTTGGGACACCCTGAGGCGGGGTTGAGTGTTGGTCTGAGGATGTGAGCAGGGCAGGGCAGGGAGGTGATGGGTTTGGATGGGGCAGTGTTGTCAATCCACAGAGTAAGCACCCTTCCATATTGGTGCCAGTTAGGGTCTCGGCTGCTCCACTTCCGGTCCAGCTCCCAGCTAACACAGCTGGAAAGGTGGTGCAGGATGGTCCAAGTACGTGGGTTCCTACAGCCATTTAGGAGGATGGAGTAGCTGGTGCCTGGCCTCAGCTGGCGCAGCCCTGGTGCCTGGCCTCAGCCCTGGTGCCTAGCCTCAGGCTGGCCTCAGCCCTGGTGCCTGGCCTCAGCCTGGCGCAGCCCTGGTGCTTGGCCTCAGCCTGGCGCAGCCCTGGTGCCTGGCCTCAGCCTGGAATCAGCCCTGGTGCTTGGCCTCAGCCTGGCGCAGCCCTGGTGCTTGGCCTCAGCCCTGGTGCCTCCCTCAGCCCTGGTGCCTGGCCTCAGCTGGCTCAGCCCTGGTGCCTGGCCTCAGCCTTGGTGCCTCCCTCAGCCCTGGTGCCTCCCTCAGCTGGTGCAGCCCTGGTGCCTGGCCTTAGCCTGGCCTCAGCCCTGGTGCCTCCCTCAGCTGGTGCAGCCCTGATGCCTGGCCTTAGCCTGGCCTCAGCCTTGGTGCCTGGCCTCAGCCTGGCCTCAGCCCTGGTGCCTGGCCTCAGCTGGCGCAGCCCTGGTGCCTGCCCTCAGCCTGGTACAGCCCTGGCTATTGCAGACATTTGGGGAGTGAACCAATGGGTAGAAGGCCTCGTCTCTCCTTTCTCTTTTTCTCTCTTTTCCTGTTTCTTCCCATCCCTCCATTGTTCTGCCTTTCAAATAAACAAATCTTTTTAAAATATTTTTTTAAAAGGATTTTAAAAGAGAGGAGGGTTGAGCTTCGCCTGGCCAACCCCATTGTGAGGACAGCTGTGGACATGGAAGTGATGTTATTAACACGCCATGCACGTAGCCGGGGTGGGTATGCCAGCTCAAGTGGATACTCCTGTGCAAGGATGACTTGACCTTGGCCAGCTCTGTTTTTAACTGCAAATTTCCTGTGGAACGTACTTGGGAGCACATTCCCTTCCCTTGTCCCCATCACGGCCAGGCCAGGAGTTTTCTTGTGTATTAGTATCTTATAGAATTTTTATTTTTTAAAATGTATGTGTTACAAAGGCAGAACAAGTGGTGACTTGGCTGGTTCTTTCTCGCAATGGCCACAGCAGCGAGGGCAGGGTCAGGCCACAGCCAGGGGCTCCCACATGGATGGCAGAACTCAAGGCCCTTGGGCAACCTTCTCCTGCTTTCCCGGGGTAGCAGCAGGAAGTAGGCTTGGAAGCAGAGCAGTTAGACTCAAACCAGTGCCCTGACACAGGACGCCGGCATCAGACGCAGCAGCTCAACCACAGAATGCTTTTATAATGTCACTTACTCTGTTACCAGAAGGCAGTGAGATGCAACTTTGGGCTGCTAGTGTGTTCCTGCAGGCGTATGGGGAAACCAGGCCTGTGGAAGCCACACCAGAGGCTCCAGGATTTGTGGCTGACAGCCACCATTCAGCCCTCACGCGGTGAAAGCCACCTGCTGCTCTCCCTCCATGCCTGTCCCAGTTTGTGCCTCTGTGCCGCAGACCCCACCCGCACTTCAAGGGTTTCCCCTCTGCAGCCCCATCGGGCATTTTCTATTTGATTGAGGATTGAAAACAGCTCTTTTATGCAGCGACTGCAGTGTCTGTCCCCATGCACGGAGGAGTTACAGCATCTGTTATACTATTAGTCACCTATTTAAAGGCCCAGACCGTCAGCCCTGCCCCACTTCCCAGCCTTCCTCTGCCCCTGGCCTAGTTATTTTGGCATCTCCAGGGTCAACTGGAAGTGCTTAGTAAGTGTGTCTGCGCAAAAGCTAGTTAAGTCTATCTGCTCCTGTATCCCGAGGCTGCGCTGCCTGCAGATCTTCAAGCAGGAAGTTTTCCAGAACTGGGTGTTGGAATGCCTCCTTTTGCTGGCAGTCCAAGGAAGCCTCGGAGGTGTCAGGATTCAGAGGCATCCCATCTCAGGCCCTAACCTGTTCCTGCAAGGAAGGCCCTGACATGCTTTGGTGCAGAACCTTGCCCAGCAAGCTGCCCTGTGCACCTGTGTGGAACGACCCTGCCAAACTCAGCCGGGCTGTGGACGGCGCTGCCCGGTACCCCTTGACAGTCACTAGCCACTAAACCAGCTCCAGAATTCTTCATTCTGCCTGGCGTTGTTTCAGTCTGTGAACGCTGACCTAGACCTTGGACTGGTGGAACCAGAGAAGCCCGGGGCGCAGAGGGCAGCTCAGAGGTCGGGAGGTGGGTGGGGTGCGAGGAGAAGGGCCAGGGCACACACGGGAGAATAACCGCTATGCTCCTCTGCCGTTTTTTTTGCAGCCGAGCCCCTGCCGCTCATGGACCTGTGCCGGAGATCCATCCGCTCGGCCCTGGGCCGCTCGCGCCTGCGAGACATCAGCACCCTGCCCCTGCCTCAGTCCCTGAAGAACTACCTGCAGTATCAGTGAGCCAGGGCACCCAGGGGCCGGCGGGCCCGTCCCCCACGCTCACACGGTGCATCTCCAAGGAAGCCTTCCCCAGGACTTACACACTGCTGCTGACTCTGCATGGTATCAACGCCGCAGAAGCAGCCCTGGCAAGGCACCCACATGCTTGGAAGCCACAGAGGCCTGGAGCCCCGAACCAGCTCCCGGCCCAGGTGCTGCCTGCCCTCCAACGGGGACAGCAGCGGACAGCACTGAACAGAGCCCATTCCCTCACTCAAGAGTAAGAATCAGACGTTGGGCTGTTAGGCTCTCTCCCGGGCGTGCCCTGTCTCAGGTAGGGCTGGGAGATGGCAAGGGAGCAAGCCCCACCCCCTGCCAGGGCAGCAGGGTGGTCCTGGCAGGTCAGGGAGGCGGGTCCCCAGCGGCGCTAGCAGCAGACTGGTGAGTGAGCAGAGCCCGTTCGGGCCCTTGCGGGTGAGCCCTCTGGACATGGCTTGCCCTTTGCCCACACACCCTGCTCCTAGGTTCCCAGGGTGACCTAGTGCCCCCCCCAAGCCCGGTGGTGCCCTGACCAAGACCACACAGATCCTCAGCAGTGTTTGCATTTTCCAGGGGGAGTGCGGCGAGGACCACTGTAGTCCAAAGGTGCTAATGTACGAGGGGGCGGGGGGCCCTGTGACAGCCAGGTCCCCTCCTGCGCCCCTCCAGGAGGCAGCCTGGATGTCACAAAGGTTTCTTGAAGCTAATTATTTTTTCACTTTAGTAGACCTCCACAAGTTTGTTTCCTGTTTCACCGTGTGTGTGATGCGCTGTTTATTTATCAGCTTGAGGGCCACAGGGGCAGCCTTGTAGCTCGAAGGGTGGGTGTGGGGCCTTCTCTGCCCACCGTGGCGAGCATGCACCACTCACAGGAATGCTGCCGCTGCCACCACCCTTAGCATCTGCTGTGTGCCCCGGCCTTGCCGTGCCCATGCTCGGCAGTGGGAGCCCAGAGCCCCAGGCAGGGCTGCCAATCCCCACTTCAATGTGAATTTACCCCGTGAGTGAGGAGCGTTTCTAATAAAGTTTGTCCTGAGTCCCTCTCTGTCCACCGCGTGCTCCCTGGAAAGCGCTGCTGCCACCCGGCTGGCTACTCAGCCCTTAGACCGGCTCTAGGTACTTCTCACCCCTCCAGCTGGTCCTCTGCAGCCCAGCCCTACAGAAGACACACTGTGCTTGGGCCCTGGGTGGTAGAACAAGCCAGGCTCCTGCAGGCCTGTGGGGGCCAGGTAGGGCAGACCTTATGGGATGCCAGTTGCAGGTGGAGCTGGCGGGCAGAATAGGGACACTGAGTGCATGTTGTCACCAAGGGCCAGCAGATCGCACAAGGGCAAGTCCCAAGCAAGAGGCTATGGGAGTCGGGGCTGACCCAGAATTCACTCAGTGGCCCTGGCCCCATTTACCCAGCTCTCAGCTGACCCAGAACCAGCTGGGAGGGACAGTCACAGTGCCACAGGTCCAGAGAGAAGGAACCCATGGTAGGGAAGAAGGAGAGGAAGCTGCCTCGAAAAAAAGGCAATATCTTTTGATTGATTTCTTCAGTCGTCCCAAAGGCAGCCCTTCTATTTACTGATTAACTACCCAGTGGCTACGATGGCCAGGGCTGGGCCAGGCCGGAGCCTGGAACCCAGAGTGCCACCCTGGTCGCTCACAGGGGTGTCAGGGGCCACACAGTTGGACCGTCTTGCACTGCTTTACCAGGCACATTAAGGAAGTTGAGTTTGGAAGTGGAGGAGCTGGGACACGAACTGATGACATGGAATGCTGGAATTACAAACCAGCCTCCAGGCCCACTGAAGGGCAGAGAACCTGCCTGAGGACTCATGCTCAGGGCCCACCCCCCACCTCAGTGCTGGCCCTGCCCTGGGCTTGAATCCCAGCAGTGGCCTGGAGGTCAGTCCCACCTCAGTACCCTTGAGGCTGGAGCAGCGAGCCAGTACCCCACCCTCAGCACCAGCATTCCGGCCAGGCTGCCTCTGTCTTGCACTGGCCCCTTGGCCTCCCACTGGGTGGTTTCCCTCACCCCGACAGTGGTACTTCCTCCAGGAAGCCCTCCATGACTGCACTCTGCCTGCTCTGTGTAGTCATCCCCTAATCCCCAATGTGACGGTTCCACTCCAGGCACCCAGGACCTCTCCCAGGCCCTGGGGTGGATGCCCTTCTCCCAGGGGCCCTCACTGCCCAGTAGGCTGTGGGGCTCGGGAGGACAGAGCCTGTGCCTGCTTCTTCCCATACACCTGTCAGCAAAGCTATAAGGGTGAAGTGGGGCAGAAGACTCCTGAAACTGTAAGGAAATGCCCGGATGGGGAAGGAAGGATGCCCTCTGCAAAGCCAGCGACCCAGTGTCGTGGCCTCCTGGGTCTCCTGCCCTCTGGTCTCCTCACAGATTTGCAGGCTGTCTGACGATGCCCTCACCTGAGCCCGCATGCCCAGCAGGTACCGGATGTCACACACAGGAAAAGGAGATGGCTTTTGGGGGAGGGCTGGGCAGCAGGGGACCATCAAGGGGAACCACAGGAAGCCCTGGGCATGGGAGGATGAGAGAGGCCCAGCAAGACAATGCAAGGGGGCTCTCCCAGTCCCTTCTAAGCCAGAGCCTGGCACCCCAGAGAACTGCTCCCAGTCAGTGAGCTGCACGGTGCCCCAGGCTCCTGTGCACACACACAGGTACACACAGGTGCACACATGGGCTGTTCCCTGGGAGCCTGAGGAGCACCCTCCCATCCTGGGCATGTTCTCAGGAGGATGAACCTCCCTCCCCCACCCCTTTCTATCCCACTGGTCCTGTGTAATAGTCTGACGAGAGCAGATGGCAGGCACGGGCCCCCAGAGATGGGGTCCCCGCTGAGGACTTGGGCTTACATGTCCTGCATCCAGCATTTCCTGGGTAGGAGCTATGCCCCCTCCTCTGCCCCTCCACCAGCTGCACCAGCAGCCAGCTCTGTGGGCCATCCTTCATCGAGAAACAAAGGTTCTGTCACCTCCTGATGCGGCATCAGGGAACAAGTGACCAGCTGCCCCAGGCCCTGCTCCCAGTCTGCATCTGAGGACAGCAGATAAACAAGGACCACGGAGCTTTGGTCTTCAGTGCTCGTCCAGGAGTGTAAATCCTCATTGTGGTCTCTCACACAGGGATCGGTTCTGCTGTTCGCTCTGACTCTGGAGCCTGGATCCTTTGAAGACTGAGAGGGAGCAATCTAGCTGCTGGTTCGTTCCACCAAAGGATTGCAACAGCCAGGTTGGGCCAGGTTGAAGCTAGGAGCCTGGAAACTCCAGATCTCCCATGCAGGTGGCAGGGCCCCTGCATCTGGACTCATTAGTGGGGACCTGGGGAGCAGGCAAGGAGCTGGAACTGGCACTCCCATGTGTGATGCCAGCGTGCCAAGCAGCAGTTAACCCTGCTGTGCTGTTAAGGCTGCCCCTCCACAGTATGTTGTATTATCCTATTTCATGTGTAAACTTTAGCAAAACTGAGTCCAACAAAGAAAAATCAAGCGATGTAATCATAATAATAACAAACAAAAAATTCATATTTCAAATCTGTTTTGAAAAAAAATAGAGCCTGCTAAAACCAGTGTCTCATGGGCTCATAGTGACATTGGTGCCAACAGCTCCAGCCCACTCCCAGTGTTTATGAGGGGCCTCCCTCTGCAGTCGCCCTCGCAGCCGCTCCCTGCCCAGGGTCAGCCCTTAGAGTTAGCTTCTCTGGGCCATTGATAGGCAGGTGCCAGGGTGATGTGTGTGGCCTTCATCAGACAGTGAGCTGCTGGAGGACCAAAGAGTCCATGTGAGGCAGTCTGAGGAACTGTGGACTGTCCCAGTGCCCGGCTCTTCCCCAGGCCAGAGAAGTCAGGGCCTTGGGGCTGAGCCAGGACTGCTGCCATCTGGCCCTCACCACGCCCTGCCTCAGTGAGTCTCACGTGAAGCCGGACCGAGCCTCAGAGGAGGGGCTCCTGACTGGTCTCCAGAGGGCTGCTGAGGGTGGTGAGAATACATGGCCTGTGCGTGCCCAGCAAGGGGAGGGTGCTGGGTGGCACTCAGCAGAAGCATGGGCCGGGTCACCCAACAAGTCCTCCGCAGCCTTCTACCTTCTGTCCAGGGATGCCGAGCCAGAATGGAGCCCTGCCAGCTCTGTCCGTCTTCTCCCCACCTGATGGTGCTTTACAGTGTTGCCCACGTGGACTCCAACCCCAGCCGCTGACCAGTGAGGAAGGCAGTGTGTGCACAATGTCCTGGAGAGGATCGGATGGCATGGGGTGGCTTGTTTCCTAGCATTTCCAGAACTTGTTGCCTTAAATGAGATGGATACTTGTGACAACCCTTTTGTCCCCGCCCCTTCTCTGTTTGGGGAGTGAAGACCTGAGACAGCTGAGCCTGGTGTGCTGGCAGTGGCCCCAGCTGCTCTGTCTACCAGCTGGCAGGAGTCCTGGGCTCGTGGGAGGGTCCAGACATGTAGGACAACCCGAGGCAGTGATTGCCCCCTCCCCTGTCTAAGTGGCATTCCCATCCCAGGGAAGCAGCCCACTGACAATTTGCTGCATTTAAACAGCCGCCTAGTCGTCATCACTGCATGTAGCTGGTGATTCTGGGCCAGACCCAAGGGCACCCATACACCTTGGCAGAGAGACTGGCACACAAACAGGTGAGTGCATTACACACTGCCTGCTGAGTGTACGAGCGATGGGGCTGGAGCTGGCCAGTGGTGAGGGCACGAGGGATTCAAGGGTGGTGGGCAGTGCTGAGGGGTCCCAGGTAATGGAGGCAAGGGCAGAGGGATGAAGCCTGGGGGCCTTGAGGACCTTGGACTGTGTTCTGCTAAGCCTGGCCTCCAGCAGCAGCAGCGTAAATAGTCTCACTGTTTCAGTGCCGGGATCAAGCGGCATCAGAGCAGATACAGTGGGCTAGGTGGATCCATGGTCAAAGGAGAATCTGATTCAGTCAGGATTGTAAAAATGCAACGCTGGAGCAGATAAGAACACAGC